CGCTAGCGGCCGAGGGCCTTAAAGAGCCGATCAGGAACACCAACATCAACGGCCGTGGTGGCGGTGGACTTGCGAAACGAGTGTTTGCCAAGGACATCAGGATTGAGTCCGACCCGAGAGAAGGAATCCCGGCACCAACTCCGAATGGTGGCATACGAAGGGGAGCGATCGGAAGGGGAAGCTCGAGAGCCCGGCTGAAACACACGGATGAGGGGGCCGAGAGACTGGGATCTTCTCGCGAGCTTATCGCTGCCTCACGGACCTCGCGAGCAGTTGGACTAGAGTGGATAAGCTCGAGGCTCAATCGCGAGCTTATCTAGTCCAACTGCTCGATATGCAGCCACGCTTGAGCGTCACCAGCGTCAGCCCCCTCCCTGATGTTTCGTTTGACCTATGGCGAATGCACTGCACACTCCTCTGAAAGTCGTGTCACAACATGAATAATTTTTTTGGAATAAAAAATTTACAGATTGTGATTCGATTTGAAGAGGAGTTTTGTTGTAAAGGAGACAAGCTCCTTCACATTCTCGCAGGTCCGATGGACCTGCCACCTAGTCTCATTCTCATTTCTCTTCTCTGATTGCTCCCACCCCCCTCTCCCACTTTCCTAGTTGGCATCTGCCTGTTTAGCTTCGTCCTTTAGAACATCCATGTACTTCTAACTATGAGTGTGCTGTATCATTGAGATATGAAATGCTATGACGACTGCACTGCACACTCCTCTGAAAGTCGTGTCACAATGTTGGAGTTGATGATGGTCCGGCCATTGTAGAATTTGAAGATAGTCTTGATTCCAGACAGCTCTCATACCATGAAAGAATTTGAAAGGTGGTGCAGAAGATTAAGTATAGAATCTGCAGATTCAAGTACTTGAAGTAGAAAGTAATACTGGAGGTACCACCAGTAACAGCCAGTATTAACAAGTTGTAACACCAGATGCAGTGTTACAACCTTATGATACTTGAAGACTTTGAACAAGGATCTTTGGTGGAATGGTAGACTAGTAAGACAGTGGAAGTTTTAGAACTTGTAAGTGTTGACCAGAATTTACTGAAGAACAAGTTACTGTAATAATTGAAGTCATACAAGCTACTTTTATATCTACTAGAAGTACCCGTTCGGTAATGCACATGTTCAAACTATTTGCGTTTTGCGCTCTAACCACTACTGAAAAGAGCGCGACTGTTCCAGTGACTGAAACGACCTGCTGACGTAATCATCCAGACGAGCGCTATTTGCTGACGTCATTCTATGGATGCTAACTACAGTGTAACTCGACAATATCTATCGGAACTACTTACAGACATGCTTAAGTACGATTTATCACAACAATTTTCAGTCGCGCGTTGCAGATATTCCAGTAATTAGGGAAGCTCTACTGTAAGCTTAAAACAAATAGATTTTAGGTTAAGTAGCCGCTTTGTTGAAAATGCACCCATTCTTCTGGTCTCGGCAAAGGGGTCTCATCTTTAGAGCCCCTCAATCATACAGCAAAGCCACCGTCCACGGTGATTCCCTCAGAAATGAGCTCACCACGTCACATGTGGTCCAGGCCTATTGGTGGGAAAAATGGTGTCTGGATCGTCCCCTGATTGTTTCTGCGATGTGAGTGTTAGAGACGCCGTGGTCGGTTGATTTTGTCAAACATGTGTATTTGTCATGTTTGTATAGACTGTATAGGGTCACCTCTTAGAGGGTACAAGACTTAGGTATATCTTTGTGTACTCTCACTCTAACAACAACACTTCTCTAATTCTGATATGGTATCACGCGTAGGTTAGGATCCCCCCCCCCCCACCTACCGCTTCCGCTCGCCCCTCCTAGCCCCGTCGTGCCCCTAGCCCCGTCGCGACCCCCCTAGCCCCGTCGCGCCCCTTCCTGGGCCCCGTCGCACCCCTTCCTGGGCCCTGTAGCGCCCCTCCTGGGCCCCGTCGCGCCCCTCCCAGGCCCTGTCGCGCCTCTCCTGGGCCCCGTAGCGCCCCTCCTGGGCCCCGTCGCGCCCCTCCTAGGCCTCGTAGCGCCTATCCTGGGCCCCGTAGCGCCCCTCCTGGGCCCCGTAGCGCCCCTCCTGGGCCCCGTCGCGCCCTTCCTGGGCCCTGTAGCGCCCCTCCTGGGCCCAGTCGCGCCCCTCCCAGGCCCCGTCGCGCCCCTTCCTGGGCCCTGTAGCGCCTCTCCTGGGCCCCGTCGCGCCCCTCCCAGGCCCCGTCGCGCCTCTCCTGGGCCTCGTAGCGCCCCTCCTGGGCCCCGTCGCGCCCCTCCTGGGCCCCGTAGCGTCCCTCCTGGGTTCCGTCGCGCCCCTCCTGCGCCCCGTAGTGCCCCTCCTGGGCCCTGTACCGCCCTTCCTGGGCCCCGTAACGCCCCTCCTGGGCCCCGTAGCGCCCCTCCTGGGCCTCGTCGAGCCCCCTCCTGGGCCCCGTCACGCCTTCCGGCCCCGTCGCACCCGCCCTGCCCCGTCGCACCAGCCCGGCCCCGTCGCGCCCGTCCGGCCCCGTCCCACCCGCCCGGCCCCGTCGCCCCCTGCCCGGCCTCGTCGCAGCCGCCCGGCCCCGTCGCACCCGTCCGGCCCCGTCGCGCCCGCCCAGCCCCGGTGCGCCCCCCCCCCTCCTTGGCCCCGTCGTGCCCCTCCTGGGCCACCGTCCTGCTCGCCCGGCCCCGTCGCCCCGGCCCGGCCCCGTCGCACCGCCCGGCCCCGTCGCACCAGCCCGGCCCCGACGCACCCGCCCCGCCCCGTCGCACCAGCCCGGCCCCGTCGCACCAGCCCGGCTCCGTCGCGCCCGCCCGGCCCCGTCGCACCCGCCCGGCCCCGTTGCACCGGCCCGGCCCCTGCGCTCGTCCCTGCCCCGGCCCCGGTCCTCCTCACTGGTACGGTTCCCCCCCCCCCCCCCCCCCCCCCCCCCCCCCGCCCTGCACTGCCCTGCACCGTACTGCCCCGCACTGCACCGCCCCCCACCACCCTGTACTGCCTGGCACCGCACTGCACCGCACTACACCGCACTGCACCGCACTGTACCGCACGGCACCGCACTCCACCTTGCTGCACTGCCCTGCACCGCACTGCACTGTTCCTGATGGCGGCGGAGCTTCGCTTCGACGTTGAAGGCCAGCCTCTGGAGTTCGAGGCGTGGCTTGCCGACCTCCGCCGCCAACTCACTGGCCAGCGGCAGGATGGTGAACCGCTTTCCGCACACCTTGACGGTACTCTCCCCTGCCCAGACCCCCCTGCTATTTTGCCCGCTGACTCCACCCCCACTGAGCGCGAGTCTACTGCTGCCACTGCCCGCGCGTGCTCTGTCTGGCTTTCTCGCGATGCTGTCGCCCAGCTTGCCATTAGCAACGCCCTTCCCCCGTCCGACCGCCCTCGCTTTAGGTCCCTCACTACTGCTCAGGCATACTTAGATGCTGTCATCAAGCGCTATTCCACCCCTTCGGCTGCCTCGGTGGGTCGCCTGATCCTCCCGATGCTCTTTCCTGACCTTGCATCCTTCCCTACTGTCTCTGACCTTGCTGCCCACCTGCGCTCGATAGATGAGACCTGGCGCGCTGCCTGCACTGACGCACAGCTTAGTGCCCACCAGCCGCCCATTACCTCTACCCTCTACCTGCTTGCCACCCGCCTCCCTGACCGCCTTGCTGTCGCCCGCGACCGCTTCCTTAGCATTCACCCCGCAGACCTCACCCTCACTGACTTTGTAGACACCCTGACTGTGATAGAGACCCGTCACCGCTCCATCACCTAGGCGAGCGGTGCTGTGCCGGTCCCTATCTTTCAGGGTTGTGCCCCCGCTCAGTGTACCTTCTCCGACGGCTCTGCCGCAGTGGCTGAGACTGCTGCTTCAGCGCAGTTTCGTTCGGGGAAGGGCCGCCGCCCCAAGGTTTGGTGCGGCGGAGGCGGAGGCGGGGGTGCGGGAGGGGGTAGTGGTGGGGTCGGGTCGTCTGGTGCTGGAGCGGACGAGGGGACCCTGCCCAGTCCAGCTGAGCCGCCGCCCCTGCAGTTACAGCAGCCGCAGCAGCCGTCGCAGACACGGCAGACGAGTGTCCTCCCGCCCGGGTGGCCCGGCGCTGGCGGTGGCCAGGCGCGTGGTGGTGTGCCGAGTGGTGGCTCTGGCGGCAGGCGTTGTCAGTACCAGATCCAGACCGGTCCTCGCCGCGGCTTCGTTTGCGGTAAGATCGGTCACTCCACTCCCCGCTGTTTTCGTCGCCTGGACGACCTCTTTCGTCAGCGCTTCGGCCCGTCGCCAGACCTCCCGGACTGGCACAGTTTACTTAGTCGTAAGATTCAGATCTTTGATATGGACATGGATGCCATTGTTTCTGCTCTGCATGTGATGTATGCTGATGACTCTAGTGTGCTTCCAGCTTATTACTCACTGTTGCCTAGTGTAGGTGTGCCTAGCGTAGCCTCCCCTGCTGCGTCAGGCGTAGGATCCTCTGCTTTGTGTAGTCTTGGTGCTTCCGCCATCGTTCCGTCGCCAGACGCCTCTGCTTCGCTTTCCTTCACCTTGGACTCTGGCGCTTCTCGGTGTTTCTTCCGCGACTCCACCACCCTGACGCCGCTTCCTGTCCCTGCTGCCGTTTCTCTCGCTGACCCCTCTGGCGGTCCGGTAGTCGCCCGCAGTTCCACCACCCTTCCCTGTCCGGCGGTTCCTTCGGGCTCTCTTACAGGTCTGCATATCCCCTCGTTCTCCAGGAACCTAGTTGGTGTCCTAAACCCTAAACCCTAAACAACGACTACCCGCTCCCCAGGGAAGACGTCGGTGGAGCTGAAGCAGCTCAAGAGGAAGCTGGGGGTCTACAAGAAGCTGCACAAACCCCGAACTCCTCCTACGGATGCATCCAGTTCTTCGGCATCAGTGACGCGCACAGTCGTCAAGGAAACTCCGGGCCCTGGAGAAGAGCCGTTCTCCAAGCAGCCTCGGCCAGCTGCCAGCTCAGGAGTAGACAGCAACACAAAGGTGTGTACGGATTATTGGGATGTACCTTATGACCCCATTAATGAAACTATCTTTGGGTACTCCGAGCAACGCCCACCTCTCGTGCTCGAGGTCATCTGCAAAGGACGACACCTCCAAGCACTCGTGGACAGCGGAGCATCACACACCGTCTGCGACAAGGCAGTGATCGACCGACTTCGGGAAGAGTACAAGCCTTCAGGATTCTCTGCAACGATGGTGGACGGCAGCAAGTTACCAGTACACGGCGAAGCAGTGCTACATCTACAAATCGGACCACTGCGCTGGAGACCTGCACTCCCCATCACCAACATCAAAGGGCTTGACTTGATCTTCGGGCGAGACTTCCTGAAAAAATTCAACCCCGAGATCAACTGGGTGAACCGCACCGCAAGCATCTACAACAATGGACGGAGAGTACAGCTACCCAACTGGGACGATACTGGAGATATCCCAGTGGAGACACTCGCACGATTCGAGAAGGACGTGAAGCAGACCGACACCGGGTTCCTGGCGATAGCAACAGAGGTGGAGAATGACAGAGAGGAAGCCTCGGAAACTCCAGAAAAAATCAAGGAATTACTGAAGGAGTTCCAAGATATTCTTCCTGACGATCTTTCGAACGAGCTACCGCCATACCGAACGCATCAACACGAGATCGTGGAGGAACCGGGTTCGAAGCCGACCTTCCGAGCACCATATCGGCTCAGCCCTACGGAGCTGACCGGCATGAAAAAACAAATCGAGTATCTCCTAGCCAAAGGACTCATCCGACCATCCACTTCGCCATACGGTGCCCCAGTACTCTTCACACCGAAACCGGACGGAAGCCTGCGCATGTGCATCGACTACCGAGCTCTTAACAAGCAGACCATCAAGAATAAATATCCGATACCGCGAATCGATGACCTGCTTGACCAGCTTCGGGGAGCTACGGTATTTTCCAAACTGGATCTGCGGTCCGGATACTGGCAGATACGGATGGCGGACAACTCTATCCACAAAACTGCTTTCCGAACTCGGTACGGATCGTACGAGTATTTGGTCATGCCGTTCGGACTCACCAACGCGCCGGCAACATTCCAAGCCGAAATGAACCACATTCTACGACCACTTCTGGACGAATGCGTGGTGGTGTACCTGGACGACATACTCATCTACTCGCGCGACATGAAGCAGCACGTCGAACACCTGCGACGCGTCTTCGAAATTCTTCGATGAGAACGATTCTACGTCAAACTGTCCAAGAGCGAATTCGCCCTGGAGAAAGTCCAATTTCTAGGACACATGGTGAGCGCTCAAGGAGTTCACGTCGACCCCAAGAAAATCGAAGCCGTACGCACGTGGAAGACACCCGAGAACGTGAAGGAGTTGCAGCAGTTCCTAGGCTTCGCTAATTACTACAACAGGTTCGTGCCACAATATGCGAAACTCGCGGCACCACTCACGAATCTGCTGAAGAAGAACACGCCCTACAAATGGGAGACGAAGCACCAGGAAGCCGTGGAGCAGCTGAAACAAGCACTGACATCCGCACCGGTGCTCATCTTGCCAGATCCCGAACGCGACTACGTAATCGAAGCTGACGCCAGCGACCGGGCAGTGGGAGCAGTCTTAATGCAAGACCAGGGGAATGGACTGCAACCAATTTCCTACCTCAGCAAGAAACTGCACGGGGCAGAACTCAACTACCCGATACACGACAAAGAGGCTCTTGCTATCATCATCGCCTTCAAAGCGTGGAGATGCTATCTCGAAGGACGAAGAACAACCGTCTACACCGACCACTGCAGCCTGAAATATTTGAAGACACAACCCAACCTTTCCAAGCGGCAGGTCCGGTGGATCGACTTCCTCGAGACACACTTCCACTACGACATCGTGTACAAGCCCGGCCACAAGAACAAAGCAGACGCTCTCAGCCGGCCTGCACACGTTGCCGCGATTCAGGTCGAAGGGATGAATCCACTACTCAAGGGACTCTTCACCCACGGGTACGCCATCCACCCCGAAATTCCCTTGGCAGAAAAGCGACATTTGCTACAGTGGGACAATGACATCGCGTACCGGAAGGGATCCACAAAAATCTGGGTACCCAATTACCCTCCTTTGCGCCAGTTACTACTCGAAGAATACCACGACGTCCTGTACGCCGGCCACTTCGGTAGCAACAAGACGCTCACCGGTATCGCCAAACACTACTACTGGCCCCATATGGCAGACGACGTCCAGAAATTCGTCACCTCGTGTGATACATGTCAGCGGATGAAGAGCAGCAAGCAGAAAAAGGCGGGACTACTGCAGCCTCTTCCTGTCCCAGAACAACCATGGCAAGTGGTTAGCCTAGATTTCATCACCGGGTTACCACCTACCTCCAGCGGTCATGACGCCATCCTTGTCGTCATTGACAAGTTCTCCAAAATGGGACACTTCATCCCGACACACACGACGGCACGCACCGAGGAGACAGCACAGCTCTTCGTTCGTCACATCATCTCACAGCATGGCATCCCAACTACACTCATCTCCGACCGAGACCCCAAGTTCACTAGCAAGTTCTGGAAGGAACTTATGTCTCTGCTCGGCACCAAACTCGCCATGTCATCCGCATACCATCCGCAGACAGACGGACAGACCGAGCGCCTCAACCAAATTGTTGAGCAACTCCTCCGAGCAGCCTGCAAGGACGACATCTCCAAATGGGACTTGCACCTGCCCGTACTCGAGTTTGCTTACAACAATGCTACACATGCCGCTACTGGACAGACGCCGTTCTTCCTCTGCTACGGACGCCACCCACTCACACCACAGAAACCGACAACATCAGCAACAGTCCAACCTGCACACGACTTCATCACAACCATGCATCAACTTTGGGATCGGACCCATACGCGCCTCCTTGACATTCAACAGCAACAAAAGCGCCAAGCCGATCGCCATCGCAACGATCATACCATCACGGTGGGAGACCAGGTGCTTCTTGACACCCGCAACCTGGACATCAGCCATCTCCCATCTAAACTTCGACCTCGCTTCTGCGGGCCTTTTCTCGTTGACGCACAGGTCACTCCTGTTACCTTCCGCTTACGCCTGCCAGCTACCTGGAAGATTCACAATGCCTTCCATGTCCAACTTCTGAAGCCCTATCGGGACCCGAACACAATTTTCGCCGGACGCCAGCCGCCGCCGCCGCCGCCCGTCCTCGTCCAGAACGAACCCGAGTACGAGGTCGAGTCCGTGCTTGCACATCGTCGACGTCGGAATGGCACCGTGGAGCTTCTTATTCGTTGGAAGGGCTATGATCCTTCTGAGGACAGCTGGGTCTCTGAAACCGACATGGGTAACGCCCGTCGTCCTCTGCATGACTACCTTGTCAAGCAGGGTGTTACTTCTACCACCCAGCTTTGAGGGGGGGAAATGTGAGAGTACGACCCCGTTACACCACTTGTCCTATTCTTATCTCCTTCCTATTTCATTCTTCTTTTTATCTCATCTCATTTGGTTTCCTATTCTCCATTCTTCCATTATCCTTTGGTTGATCCTGCTATTATAATTATATCACCGACCAGGCTTGGGATGTACTGGCACATTATCCAGCGTAATCTTGCCGTAATCCCTTAAAGCCAATAGCCTCGCGTGGCTATACGCAGGGTGATTCTATATTCTAGAAGGGTCTATTCCTTTGGATAGGATAAACCTGGTTACCTGATGTACTCTGGAAGTAAAAAAGCACATTGTACTGATCGATAGTGCAATCGATCCTCGAGTCATTCGATCCTGTGACACCCCCGCTGTCTGACTACCTTCGTGCCGCTCGTCCCCTTGTTCCTCGGGTCCTTGCCTCTCTCGTTACCAACCCGTCTGTTCCGGTCTCGTGCCTTGACGCTCTTGTCGCTGCTGTCGCTGACTTCGCCTCTACCCGCCGCCTTGACTACGCCACAGCTCTCGTCTCTGACCTTGCCTGTCCTTCGTCTGTCGGGGGTGCTCCTGCTCTTGGCAGTGACGTCCTGGAGGACCGCTAGTTCGAGCTTGCTTTCCTCTCCGAGGCTGCTCCCCATCTCTGCTCCATGCTGCTAGTCCCTGAGGGTGACCCAGACGCTTTCGACATCCCGACCCCTCGCACTTACGCTGAGGCGACTTCGGGACCCTGGGCCTCTCAGTGGATAGCTGCCATGGAGCAGGAGATGGCATCTTGGAGATCCACCGGCACCTTTGTCGACGCAGTTCCCCCACCTGGGGTGAACGTAGTCGATGGCCGCTGGCTCTTCAAGGTGAAGCGCCCTCCTGGAGAGCCGCCTGTGTTCAAGGCGCGCTATGTGGCTAGAGGCTTCAGTCAGCGCGAGGGGGTGGACTTCTTCCAGACCTTCGCTCCGACCCCGAAGATGACTACTCTTCGGGTTCTGTTACACATAGCTGCTCAGCGTGACTACGAGCTTCACTCCCTCGACTTCTCCACTGCCTTCCTTCAGGGCAGCCTACACGAGCAGGTCTACTTGCGTCGCCCTCAGGGCTTTACTGGCACCTTCCCTCCTGGGACCCAGTGGCTCCTCAGGCGCCCCATCTACGGCCTGCACCAGGCTCCCCGTGAGTGGCACGACACTCTCCGTTATACGCTTGCTGACCTGCAGTTCTTTCCGTCTTCCGCAGACCCTTCACTCTTCGTTCGTGCTGGCCAGACTCCGTTCTACATCCTTGTTTACGTCGACGACCTGGTCTTTGCCACAGCAGACAGGGACGCACTGGCCTCCGTGAAGGCAGAGCTGCTGAAGAGACACACGTGCACTGACCTTGGAGAACTGCGCCGCTACCTTGGCTTGCAGATCTCCAGGTACAGAGCATCGCGCACCATCACCCTGACTCAGTCACACTTGGTGCGCCAGGTCCTTCAGAGGTTCAGCCTTCAGTTCTCCTCTGCACATCCCACCCCTCTGCCTGTAGACCACAGACTCTCCGCTCCAGTGTCTGAGGAGTTGGTAGAGCCCAGTGGCCCCTACGCAGAGCTGGTAGGTTGCCTCATGTACCTGATGACTTGCACTCGCCCAGATCTCGCATACCCTCTCAGCATCCTGGCTCGTTTTGTGGCCACAGGCAGACACCGACGGCAGCACTGGTCTGCCGCTAAGAGGGTTCTGCGTTATCTTGCTAGTACATCGGGCATGGGGTTAGTGCTAGGAGGACGCAGGCCAGTGGTCCTTACTGGACACACAGACGCTTCGTGGGCAGACGACGCCGAGACACTCAGGTCTACCCAGGGCTACTGCTTCAACCTTGGCTCAGCTGCCGTCTCGTGGAGAGCTACTCGCTCCTCCTCTGTTGCTCGGTCCAGCTGTGAGGCTGAGATCTACGCTGGTGCCATGGCGGCATAGGAGCTCCGCTGGCTGACCTTCTTGCTCACTGACTTAGGTGAGCGGCCTAGCTCTGCCCCGGTCCTGTTCGCTGACAACAGGGCCATGATCCTCCTGTGCCAGGAGCCTCGACTTGAGGGCAGAGCGAAGCACATTCAGCTGCGGTACTTCCTCCTGCGTGAGCTACAGCAGCGACGTCAGGCTCGCGTAGTACACTTGGCCTCGGGTGCCAACACGGCTGATATCTTTACGAAGGCGCTTGCGCCTAAAGATCATCAGCGGCACTGTGTACAGCTTGGTTTAGTTCCTGTAGCCTCTCACTTGCTAGGACCTTGACTTTGTACTGTCCTTTATATGTATACTCAGACTGGACTTGTGTCCTCTCCCAGTGGCTGGACTGGTAGTGCCGCCTGTTCTTGTTCTTGCCTTGTCTGTACTCCTTCTGACTGGTCTCTCAGACCCTTGTCTCAGAGGTTGGAGTAGTAGTGCCGCCCTGAGCTGCTTGTTTAGGACATTCCCCTATGCAGTCTAGGGGGTGTGTCAAACATGTGTATTTGTCATGTTTGTATAGACTGTATAGGGTCACCTCTTAGAGGGTACAAGACTTAGGTATATCTTTGTGTACTCTCACTCTAACAACAAGACTTCTCTAATTCTGATAGATTTCACACACCACCTCTAGCTATGGGATTGGTTCCCAATCCGGATTGCCAGATCTTTACGGATTGCTGCCATGAAGCCAATGCGGCAGCTTGCAAATAAATACTTTGGCCAACTATGTTAAATTCAATCATGAAATTCGATTGCTGTGACATAACAATCCGTAGGACATATTGGTGGCCCAAAACTAAATTGAATGTACCGAATTATTTCGTTTATCGCGTGTTCTTGTATTTAATATTTGGGTGTAACTCCAACCGAGCTTCGCGGAACCAAGCATGTCACTGCGCGAGGCCCCCTTCTGCATACTGACCCGAGCGGATTTCGGGTTGCTAAGTGTCTTCCGTGTCATGTGAGGTTTGGCGGACTAACCTAAACATGTTGCTCTACGAAATGTTTTTGGAACAACAGCGAACACTGCCGCAACCAGGCCCCCCACTATGAAGTAGATCACCGGCCATTTCCTCACTTAGAGAATGTCCTGAGTACCAATTTTGGATACCTGATCACAATTCTGCATAAGCGGGAACCAGTGACGATATAGTTTTCTCTTAGTACACGCCCTAAATGTTCTGTCAAATCTTTGACTGGTTTCATGAAGCACGACTTCTGTGGCCCCAAGGCTGACGTGGCTCGCCTTGACAACTGCAGACTGTTGATGAATGCCCCACGCACGCGTCTTCCAATGCAATTCGAATCGACGACGTTCTCTTCCCCTGGGGAAAATGTGCGCTGCGAAAAAAATCCCCCTTCCTCCTCATTGCTTTCTTGATTTCCGCGGCCCGATTTTACCAGTACGCACATTGCACACAGCACAGCCATGATACAGTACATAACTTCGAAGCCCGTAACTGGAAGCCTCACTGGAAGCCCGTTGCTGGAAGGCCGTCACACAACCAGTTACCTTATCATGTTCAGCGAACTTTTATCGCAGTCCTCGTTACTATTCCCGCAGCTCTACCCACTAACCTTTCAACATCCGCCAAATCAAAAGATGGGAAAGCGCGAGTCCTCGAACCGTTCCTCTGCTATGACGCTCGGAAGCACGGCAACACCGTGGATCCTCCAAGCCGTTCTGTTCGCCGCTGCGGTCCTTTCGACAGCACCTCGACTGGATGCAGCACAACCTGACGAATTTGCGCCGTGCGGCCCGAAGACCATAACTCCGCGCGGGTGTTACAAGCGTTGCAACAACCTTATAAAGGGGTATTTCATAATAGAGCCAAACGACACGAGGGCTACCGAAATCTTACCAGTCGCAAACTACAACTACGAGCGATACATTTTCGTTACGGGGGTCGTACAAGTCGTCGACAGCGCCAATTCCTCGGTGGTACGAGTCGTAGCACATTAGTAATATTACTACTATATCTTCACTGTTGTTCAAGCCGTCATCTGGCTTCTGTCGTCCGCCCCTCTAATTCTACTAGTAGTACGCCACTACTAGTACCGGGTCTCTTTCGCGAGCGGCTTCCGAAGCTTCTTGGATTTCAGAGTCGTGGCTTTCAAGCGAGCTGCGGCTTGGCGTACTACTAGTAGTGGACCCAGCTCCTTCATTCTTCTCCCTAGTAGTATCGTCGCCGCCACATTGCCAGACTCTTCCATGCTTTCCCCCGTGCCCCCACCGTGCCTTTCCCCCGTGCCTGGCGCCAGACCGCGGACAAGGTCACGGAGTGCTGCCAGCGCTGTGCCAAGACGGTAGGGTGCAAGTTCTGGCACTTGAAACCCATCGACAATTCAATCGGAATAACACAGTAAGGCTCCACAAATGCGTTGAACGCATCCAGGCTACGACGTCGATTGGTAGTGTGCTTAACGCAGGCCATTGTTTTCCTCTTACCCTCTTTCTTGGTTTCGTGATAAGCGTGTTGGTCTCCCGGGTACTGCTGTCATGGACGACGTGCCCATGAGTGATGCCACTCAACAGGACCAACCCTTGCGCCTCCCCACCCTCCTCCCACCCCCCCCCCCCCCCCCTCCCCTCCTCTTTCCCGACGAACAGTGCCAGATGCACGTTGCTGGGCTCGAAGGCCGGAGTTGTCCCAAGGAACTGGGACGTGCCCACAAAACCGTCATTCTTTGGCGGCGAATGCAACTCCGAGCCCAAAACCGACGACGATCCGCATTTCCGGGGAGCGGATGGAACGCGCTTCGACTTCAACGGCTTGCTCGGCCGCTCCTTCTGCCTACTCTCCGACCGTCGGATCCACATCAACATGGGGATCAACGGCTACCACCCCATCGCGAATCTCCCAGGCACTGCCACGTCACTAGACGAAGACTCCCTCGCTGCAGCGCTGGAAGTGGCGGCCAATGAGATGAAGCCACGTCATATTCGGGAGCTGGAGCAGGGGAGGCTGAGCGCTGATGAGGTTGCTGAGCTGGAGAGAATGCGGGCGAATGGGAGCCTGCCGTTGACTGCTGA